AAGTCGAGCCAGTTATGCAAACTCGAGACGCAGTCGAGGGTTTGCATAGCTTTGGAGAATACTTCCAACCGTCTTTACATACTCTCATCTAAACACACGCTATCGACCAATAAGGACGCACGTAGTAGCTCAGTTTATTTTGTAAAAGTTCATTCAAGTTTTTAGGGGTGGCGGATGGTAAATGCGACACTTTGCGAGACGACGAGACTAGCGTTTTTCTCCGCGAGTCCGAGACATTTTGATTTCTTCAGTTGCGAGACCGAGTTTTCAAAGTGTTTTTAATGCGAGCTCGAGACGTTCAGGTGCTAAGAAGTTCAGATGTCATATAAAACCATCATAAAAAGATAATATGATAGTCTGAGACAACCTGATCTACATTTCACTTAAGTTGGTATCTCTCCTTCTATTTCCTCCTCTCTTACTAACAACTCCAGCAGCACACATCGTAGCAACAAAGGTTTAGAAGCAAGGCAGCAGTAACAAACGGGATGGTAATAAAACTATATAACAATAAAAACACCGTGGTATAAACTTAATCAACAAAGTTCATTTTAAATCAGCTTTACAATTTAACATTTATAGAATCATTCAAAAAAAGGGAATATGATACAGTCACTGGCATGGCAACCTGATCTTTTTACTCAAATATCCTATGCCTGTTTTAGTAACAGACCCATCGCCGGTACCATCTGTATCTGCAACAACGGTAACAACCGGGGTAGCACCAGTAACAATAGCGGTAGGAATAATATCTATAGCGGCATAGATGACGCTTCATGCCTACAAAGATAAGTAAGGACAATGTCGTTAGGAAGAACCATTACTTTTTCAGGCGGGCGGTGAAGACTTAAAGACAAATTTTGTATCATACCAGCCACGGTATTGATGAAAGTGCCTCTCTGACGAAGCTAAAAGCGTGTTAAAAATGCTGTGTTGAGATTTTGAATTGTTTAGATTTAAAAGCAATTTTCACTGATTGACTTAAAGACCGCCCAACATTGTTAATGGCCATGTTAGCGTGGGAGCAGGGACGATGTCTGAGATTGAGTTCTCTATAACACAGAACTTTTAAATATACTGTGTCACTTTCCCTTGCGTATCTCACTGAAATAAACTAGATATCAGACCGAGAGCTCAATTCCTAGTTGCAGACAAACTTTTCCTCGGTTATCTCTGCCGCGTTTTTGTCATTTCTTTCTGGTTTCATTTCTTTAACATTTAGCTTAGGATTTCCGGCAGTATCAGTTTTAAACTGAAACTCTCGAGTCTCAACTGAGGACTTAACTTAGAAATTGCCTTTTTATCCTAAGCTTGTATTTGACTACATCTGATTAACTAATAACTAGATAGCAAACACTTACGCAACGGTTGAGCCTTCTTGACGCGATAAATGGGCAGTTTAGCACACATTTCAGCCATTTCATCACTAAGGATCGAGCGGTCAGTGACGGTCGAAACAACATCAAATTCACTGTCAGACACGTTCTTTGGCGTTGAGGAGGAACTATCCTGTAAAGAATAACAAGAACAACTTCAACTAAGCGAATCTTTATTTTAGCCCAGTGGCTATGCCTAACGTCAAACCCGCAAAAGTTTTGTATCTAGACAAGTGGAAAGGGAGCTGGGTCATACAAGAGAGTACGCCGCTAAACCTTCCCCCTCCCCCCGTGCAGAATTTTTTTGTTAGCTCGAAAGTGAGCTAGGCTGAGCCAACCTGTGGTACATTTTATCAGTTGGGAGTAATTGAGGTCTGTAACGGAAAATCTCAAATTTCGGTCGTTAGCTATCGTTAGCCAAGGTAAATACAGCAAGACCAAAGATTGCGATTTTCTAGTAAAACCGAACAAATGGTCTGTACGGTAAGTCACATAATAATTGAATTAATCAGTGGGAAGCAACCTCACTTTCATTACCTCGTCAAGCACCTTGAGCAGCTCATCAGGTTTAGGCGTATCGTCAGTGGAGTCACTCAGAAAACAAGCTTTTGCAGCAGACAGTCGATGCATGGTTAAGTTCTACAAGAAAAATACACGATGTTCTTACAAAAATGATGCCTCCCGTTCACTGACTGGTGTGCCTGGGGGTAAATGGTGCTTGGGTACTTGGAATACCCAGCGTCTAAACGCAACACTATTTTTTGTCGTTTGCTAGACAACAGTGTTTGGCACCAGGTGTGAACACAGCCTGAGATATCGTTGAAGTGACTAATTAACTCAATGACGAAAACATCTACAAAACATGTACACAGTTAAATTCGAAACAATTTCCTTGCTAGCTCCCATACGTTCATTTAGGAATACTGACTCTATCCCGTTAAAAAGTAGCGAATTACGAAATCACACCTTCTTTCTCCCGTTGTAAATTTCAATTTTACCTTTTTAAAGTCGACGACAACCTTGACTTCCCCTGCGTTCCCCGAGTTCGTCTTTGGAATACTCAAGGTCTCCGTTTGTTTCTCAGTGTCGATTTCGACTTCCTCATTAATCTCTTCATTTCCATCCTTAATTTTCACATTGTACTTGGACACGGTGTCCTACAAGCCAAAGACACATTTTAACTTTACAGTCTAAATAACTGTTTTATAAATTATGTAAGTAACAGATCCGTGCGTAACAATGACGCAAGGCTGATTACTGCGTGGAAAACTTGACGTTATAACGACATCCTAGAGTCCAGACTGAAAGCAAAAAATTGCAACCGTGGACAGCTGTTCGGACCTGGTTGGTTCTCGTCAGTACGGGATAGGAGCAAAAACTAGAGCAACTAACTTGAGGGCAGGTTTTCTACTAAATGCAATGGGTAACAACGTCAGATGAAACTCAAATACTACTGGAATGTTTCATGTCAGTTGAAATCCTCTCTGCTTTGAAGTTAAGTTACTCTTGGGCTTAACTGGACCCGCCTTATGCTACACCTGGCGGGGAAACTTTATATGAAAATTACTGAACATATAGCAATTTTATGGAGAATATTAAATTTAAGGAAATCACTCTTATTTGTCGCATTTACCTTTTTGTCTTCACATTTACAGACAGTCGCTGCAGATGTGGCAGCAACAAAGACGGCAAAACACAGAACGAACACTTTGAACTCCTAGTGAAAGGAAAACATTAAATGTAATAGATATGTGTGCTTTTGCTTAAAAAATAAAGCCAACAGCGACCAACGTGTCCTTAGAGACTGCATAGGGGACGTTGTAAGGCACGTAGGAAGGCTTCCATTGTAGGGAACTAAGAGGAGCGAAAAACTAACCAACCCGCTGTTTCTAGTCCGAATCTCTCTAGGTTGGTTATTGAGGCTGTTAGATGTGTGTACTTCATATGGGTATGAGTTATTCTCCTCGCTAAAGGCACTGATAATTAAAAAAATTTGTCAAGTAAAACTTACCATTTTTTTCTTGCAACAGAAAAGCGACAGTTCTTCGTTCTTCTTATGGCAGAGGACTTGAACCTTTCTCCACTGAGAATGGATGCAGATTCACAAGCGAACGTTTTTTATACTGTTTGACGGCTCACAAAAGTTTCCTGATAGTTAACTTGATATCAAGGATGTATGTGGTATTTGACATCAGTCCTGATTTATCCTTGTTTCAGATCTTCTAATGTAACGACTTTGACCTGGTATTAGTATTAGCACTTGCTTTACTGCGCATGTCAATATTAGCACTTACTTTACTGCACATGCCAGTGTCAGCACTTGTTTTACTGCACGTGCCAGTATTAGCCCTTGCTTTACTGCACATGCTAGTATTAGCCCTTGCTTCACAGCGCATGCCCGACAACTATTATTCAATGGTAATTCCCCGGACTCGTCCTATCCTCTACCTCTAACAGTTGTTTATGACAGCGAAATTCGACATCAGTTTTTATTAAAGGAGTTGCATAGATCCCATGCAAGGCCGACACTTGGTCAGTATTTCTTGCGGCGCGCGCTAGTTCAAATAATAATGTTTTTACACAAAACGTGACCTCAAGACGTCTAATCAGCACTTCCTTTAGCCGTAATAGTATTACGCATGTGCCTCAATTATTCGCGACGGATTACATCACTAACCGTTCCAAAATCAGATTTGAAGCAAAGCGAGTAGATCTCGCAAGCTTCACGCCTGCCACTAATTCATGAACGCGCGATAATACAAAGCCGAGCGAAATAAAAGAAATTATATTTTTCTGAAGAATCTTAGTGGTCGGGAATCCTGAATCTTATAATTTGATTGCTAATATACGCCAGGCAGTTTGTCAAGATACAGACCCAGAGTTATATACCGCTCGCATCCCCTCTTTAGAAATTTGAGGTTTTGGTTCACTTTAAACTATGTATGCTATGTAAATGCCAAAAGAAATGGCCTCGTGTCGCAGTCAAGAACCCGTCAGAGTTTTTATCGATACGGATCTTCCGCCGGCAAATAACATGTGTATATGTACAGGTTTTCAGAATTTAGTGCTGTGTACAGAATAAGCGGAATGTTTCTGTGTTGGCGTGGTAAATTAAATCACAAGCTTGATGCTTTTGGAGATCTTGAGAGTCATACATGTATTGGACCAAAGATGGAGGAATTGGAAAATCACCGACATTGAGCAATAATTTAATGCTTTTGAGACGACAAAGAGCAGATAAATTGGCCGGATCGAATGGGGAACATTCTGCAAAAAAGGAACTCTGTCAGTGCAGGGTAGATTTAAAGACTTCCGTGCGATGACGGCGAAAAAAATCGTTTTTTTGTACTTCAAAACAACTTTTCGCGATACAATTCCTCCTAGCGACTAGCAATGTTTGCCCCCTGACGATCCCCAGACACAAACATGGGTATCCGATTACTGGCAAATCATTCATCGTTGATAGAGGCTCTGTAATATTTAATCAGATTCTTGTGTCGTTTTTAAGTTTTAAACTCTAAAAGCCTTTCCGACGTTTATGAGGTTAAACACATTTAGAGCGTGACTTTACAGCAATCAATTATATACGCTGTTATCGCGCGCAGCTCTTGCTTTTATCGTTTTCTTCTGTAAAAAGTTAATCAACAGATACGAAATGTATGCCTAGTGGCCTTCAGTTTTGTAGCCTCAGAAACGTAATGGCTAAATAAGGGCCATTTAAATTTCTTCCTTCTTTGCCCTTATATATTAAGTGTTCCGATAACGATTAACCGTCTCTCAAGAGG